TGCTGGTGGCTAACGGATCAAATTTAAAACCAGAGCCTAAAGGTCATTTCTAATTAGGGTGCTTTCATGCAAACCACACTTCAGGGAGGAGTCTGCACTGAGTTGCCTGCACTGTGTTCCTGTCATGTTAGTCAGCCCTTATGAAGGAGTTCCTGGTATTGTATTCCAACCAATACCCATCAGCATCTTTACTGACCAATCAGAATGGTTCAATTCTGAACAATCAGGTCAGTGCTTTTTGCACCAATCAAACTGTGAGGATTTGTAGTCCTCATTTGAATGAGGATGTACTAATCAGGGACCAGGGATGGGAACTTCTGTCTATATAAGTTAATTCCTCTCTGGTTCAGGGAGTGCACATTCCCTTTTCACTACTGAAGACTGCATTTCCCTGGCTGGAGCTGAAACACTGAAGACATATCACCACCCCAGAGGGTAGCAGAGCAGAGCTGTCTAGCTGGAGATGGCCACCTTCCCTAGGGCTGCCTCACAGCCATGCTGTTTCACAGCCATGCTGCTTCATAATTGAGCTATTTGCACGGAATAAAGTTTCCTTCTTCACCTCACCCTAAATTGGGGATTCCTGTTGGTATTGAATTGGTGCTAACCACCAACAGTTGACAATTTCAAAATCTCATTGTGCTATACTTGCTACAGTGACTAAAGGTCACATTTGTTTGCTACAAATGAAGTACCTTTTAGTCTAAGATCAGTTTCTTTATAGCCCTGTTTATTCCTGTTTTCTGACATAATAGAAATCACCCTTTGTATCACAGGACAGCTAAAATGATTGATAGAAATTGCTAGTAGTTTAGCAATTCTCTGCTCTTAAAGTAATGTATTTTAAGATTTGCAGTAACACCAGGTCATTCCACCCCTACCCCCAAATCACATGTTAAAGCTGACACTTTGAAACTATTAACACAAATCTTCAATCAGTTCTTCAAAGCACGTAATATTCTGAATGGCTTGTTTTATAACATTTTCTTGCTTTTAAACCTCATTTTTACAATGATATAATTCTCGAGTCCAAGTGTATCTACAGTTGAGAAAAAAATAAATTGAAGGTAGAGCTCCTAGTGATTTTTGCTACGTCTACTAAATAAACCAAGTCAGCAGACTTAAGAGATACATCAGTAGGAAGTTTTATACAAGGTATTTTGGGTTTTATTTCTTTTTTTAGAGGTTTAAGGTTATATAAACAGGCATAAAAACTGAAGCTCTTCTGAAGACCTTTTTAGCTACTTAAATTCACCTGAAATATGAATAGCAAAGAAATAATTGTTTTTAAGAAAATAGTTTAATGTTTAGTTATTGTGTGTATGTGGGAGATGCTATATATATATATATATATATATATATATATAATATTATATTATATATTATAATATATATTATATATATATATATATATATATAATTTTTTCCCCTACAACTTTATGTTTAGAATTTCATGGAAATAATTGTTGCTGGCATTTTCAGAAACTTTCAGGGTAATGGGAAAGTGTCACAATAACAGAAGTTTGAAACACCTTTTCTAATGCTTTTCTGCTATATTTAACCTTAGTAATTCAAAAGATCATTTAGTCATCAACAGCATCATTTTCAATATGTCTGCTTCTGGTAAAGTCTGGTTATGTGCTTCTTGCCTCTTTTTTCATGTATTATTTTTTCATAGTGTATATGTTCATGTAGGAATTTTATTTCTGTATCTGACCTCACCTATATAATTCTTCAGCATGATTATTGCTATGGCTTCTGATTTTGTTGCTCTCTCAAAAGCAATAACCACAGAAACTTCTATAAGGCTGAGCAGAAAAGGACCAAAGCAATATTTTTTATTATTTACTATATTTTTTATTCTCTGCTTTAAATAATAATATAAATTGTTGAGCATGTATATCATTGTTCTATATATAGAAGAGATGAACACACAATTTATCATTAGTGAATATTCTCTGAATACTTTTTCCTGTGCAAAATTCACTAGAAAAAATAGTTTTTGGCAGTTATGATTCCATGTTTAATTAAACAGAAATTACATAGTTTATTAGTTAATCAGTCTTCCAAGAATGAATATTGTTTTTTTCCCCAAATCTTTTCAATGTTATAGGACTAAGCAAAAATAGCTCTGCAATCTAAAATTAAACACCTTTAGTGAATGAAGATTAACCACTCATTGTATACAGGTATGTTGTGCTAATTTGAGAAAATGACCAACATACTTGAAAAATAACAACTTCTTAATGTGTCATTAAAGTGCACATCTGTGGACTTTTAAAAAACTCATGATTATTGCACCTTCCACATTTAAATTTGTACTTCAGTTCCAGGAGAACTATGACAGTGATGATATACATGCAATTTCTGTTGAGATGGAATTGTGCCTAGATTTATTATATGCTTAATGGCACATCCATAACTGAATGCTGAAAACTAGGTTAAAACGCTAGTGAAATTATAACAAAGGTTTTCAATGTTTAATCTTTTTCATGCAAATGATACGGCTGTCCTTGATATGGGTCAAATTAACTATACTTATGGACACACAAAATGTTTCTCTTTATGTTCATAACCCATGATTTAGGATTTAGACAAAATAATTTACTGTTCCCACGTGCATCTTATAAGAGGACTTCATTCATTCATTCAAGAAACGTTGTTAATGTAACATGTGCCATATATTGTACTAGAGAGTAGGTAGGATACCTCAAGTAATAATATAAAATTCCTGCACTTCATATATTTCATAATCTACTAGAGAGATAGTTTCATTAGTACATCATTAAAACGTGGGAAGAAGCACTAATGTAAACATATAAACCATTTTATGGCAATCCCAAACGACATGGAACTAATTTTGTCTTGTTCTAGATAAGCATGGATTTCCTGAGAAATGACTTAGTGTCTTGAAAAATAGTATGAGTTGATCAAGTAGATCAAAGAGGATTTGGAGTTGTGATATTATGATTTATTAGAAATATGTATTTGGTGTTCATCCCATTTCTGGCACAGAGCTCCTAAAATCTTTGGAATTTCCTATGTGATGAGAGCCATAAAGATATCTTTTGTATTAAAGAAGTGACTTTTGGATCTCATCTAAGGATGAGGGCTGGTTGCCCAGGGAACCAAACAGGTGATTTCAGTTCCATCCCTTGACCTCCAGGTACAGGAGAAGGGATAGAGGTGAATCAATCACCCATGGCCAATGGTTCAATCAAATTGTGCCTATGTCATGAAGCCTCTATAAAAACCTGAAGAGACCAGGCTCAAAATGCTTGTGTTGGTGAACACATGGAGTTGTGGGGAAAGTGGTGTGACTGGAGAAGGCGTGGAAGTTCGGCAACCTTTTCCCATACCTTGCCCTATGCATCTCTTCCATCTGGCTGTTCCTGATTTATAAAAGTTAAATCTAGTAAAATGTTTCTCTGACTTCTGAGCTGCTCTAACAAATTAATCAAACCTCAAAAGCAGAATGTGCAAACTTCTGGTTTATAAGTAGTTGGTCAGAAGTACCTGTAACAACCTTGCAACTGGTGTCTGAAGTGGGGGGTGGAGAGGAAGTCTTATAGGACTGAATCCTTAACCTATGGAATCTGATGCTATCTCTGGTTAGACAGTGTCAGAATTGAGTTGAATTGTAGGACACTCAGTTAGTGTTCAGAGGATTACTTGTTGGTGCAGGGAAGCCTACACACACACACACACACACACACACACACACACACACACACACTGAAATTGGGACACATGTTGAAATTGGGTCCAGGAACCCAAAAGAACAATCTAGGTCAAGGTTCTAATATGCCCACATGAGCAGAGGCATGGGAGAACATGGAGGATTTGGTAAATCATAATATAAATATAATTGAACTGTAGAAGACCTGCAGAGGAGTGATAGGCATCAGGTATAAGAAGGTCACCAGGCACAATATTCTTTGATAGTTTGAATTTTGTGCTCTACACACTAAGAGGAAGTTGTGACTCTACCGGGAGATTGCTTCCTGAATGCCTCCTGTAGGTAGTCAACATATATAAAGGGGGGGGGGGGAACTTAACAGCATATTCTGGAATTACAGAGGTCTTTTTGTTGTAGTAGTTTTCTATGTATATTTTTCAGTAATAGAGTCTTTAAGAACTTTGAGTGGGGATTCATTTGATATAGCCAAAAGCCAAACACTAATTCTCTGAGGATTCTGTTAATTTCTTAGAAATATTATTGCCAATGCTTGTTGATATTCCACATACCATTAATTTTATCTGGGAGTATCAGTCATTTTATAGAAAAAGAGAACTTACTGTTATACTAAGAATACTCTGTTGTCTTCATGCTCTAATCATGCAAAGAGGGAAAGAGAGAGAGAAGTCAGGAGATTCTTCTAATTGGGCAACTTTCTCATGGGTTCATTTCCTTCAAGTCAATCTTTTTCAAGTCCTTTTCTTCAGTGTTTTCACAGATGTAGTGAAGTTGCTGCTTTACAATATAAAGATTATATATTTCATATTTTGTATTATTTACTAATTTATAAGATTTCTGTAATTGTGTTAAATCTCATTGTGCACCAATGAACATTACTTAAATGGAAACCCATAGTTTTATTTTTCTATATATTTAGGACAGGTAATATTTTTAAAGAGTTTTATAATCTGTATAGTGAAGTAAACATTCCACCATCATATATTTTATTTTTGTTTGAATTCAGACACTTCCCTTAATTTGCACCTACAAGTCACTCCAATCTAAAATATAATCTACCAGAATTGGACTCTAAAATAATATATAATCTATAAAAATTGTTGATAAAATATAAACTTGTATATTTCACAAATTTTGCTGTTAAAGAGATACAAGCAAAATTACATCTGTATTTTTCCTCCCTGTCAATGTCTCCTATTCCCAGCATGTACCACATCTGAAGTCAGAAGTTAACAAATTATAATATGCTAGATCTGTGTGATTAAAAAAACCCACAAAACTAATCTGATCTGTTTAATTACAGAGAGCCATATCCTAGAAGATGTCAACAAATGTATCATAGCCTTGCGAGACCAGGATGCTGATAACTTAGACCGAGCTGCCGGTGCTATCAGAGGTCGGGCAGCAAGAGTTGCTCACATTGTCACAGGCGAAATGGACAGTTACGAGCCAGGGGATTATACTGAAGGTGTGATGAGAAACGTCAACTTCCTTACAAGTACTGGTAAGTCTCAGTCCCCAAGAACAGCTGCGCTGTTCCTGATATTTGAATCTATGTGGCTACCAATTATCCATATGGAAAGAAGTTCTCAATCTGTGTTGGTTGTTTTCAAATAGATTGCTCTACTATCTGATAGTGATAGGTGTTTGCATTGGAAAAGAAGTCTTTTATAAATTATGCACTATATAAATCACCTCCAGGCCTTACCCACTTATGAATGTTTATTAATGCCAGAGCTGTTAGGAAATATAATTAGGCCAGGTGTGATAAATTTATAATAGCCTTTAAACCCTCTTTTAGCTGTATCATTTGTACCCCTAGGTTTTTGTTTGCATTACTAAAACAAGACAAACTCCTCCTATGTTTCCAGAGAAACGCTCTCTACCTTCTCTTGCAGTTTGTTTGCAAACCAACATTTTGTTCTTTCACATAATCTTCTTTGATTACTTAAGAAATATGGAATCAAGATTATGTTTTCATTTTACCACTCAAGAGTGTCTAAAATCAGCTAGTAAGTGCTTTGTTCTTAAATCACTCAGTAAATGGCATTCTTTTAATTATTAACATTTCTCCAAGAAACTTACAGAAACATTGGAATTCATATGGATTCAGAAACAACAGATATAATTTGAATGAGGGAAGTCAACTATCTTTTTTTTTTTTAAAGATTTTATTGGGGAATTGGGGGAAGGGAACAGCATTGGGGATCTGGGAAGGGGAACAGACAGGTTTCTGTCCTTTTGTTCTTCAGTCTAGTTGTGGAGGACATCACTTCACTGGACCATGTTGGTATTGTGATCATTGCGCTCTTCCCAGGTGAGGCAGATTGGTCTCCGGCCTCTGGACGGCCACTCACAGAGGCTCTTGGCAGCTCATGCTGGCTGCTGGCCGCTCACGCTGGCTGCCAGCCACTCACGGTAGCTTACGGCAGCCCACTGCAGCTTCACTGCAGCCCAGCTCCGGGTCGAGCTGTTGTTCACAATCTTAGCTGTAGAGGGCAGTATCACTGGCCCTCATGTGGGATCCAAACAGGGGCCCTGCTGCTCAGAGCTGGCGTCCCAAGCCAGCTCTTAACCAACACACCACTGGCTGGCCCAACTATCTTTTTTTTTTTTTTTGATTAAAGTTTATTGGGGTGACAATTCTTAGCGAAGTTACATAGATTTCATGTGTATAGTTCTATAATACATCATCTATATATCATATTGTGTGTTCACCACCCAGAATCAATTCTCCTTCCATCTCCATATATTTGACCCCCTTTACCCTCTTCTACCACCCCCAACCCCCCTTACTCTCTGGTAACTACTGAACTATTGTCTGTGTCTATAAGTTTTTGTTTCCTTATTTGTTTGTCTTATTTCTTTGTTGCTTTCAGTTTTATATCCCACATATCGGTGAAATCATATGGTTCTCAACTTTTTCTGTCTGACTTATTTTGCTTAGCTTAATAATCTAAAGATCCATCCATGTTGTCGTAAATGGTATTATTTCATCTTTTCTTATGGCATAATAGTATTCCATTGTGTATATATACCACAACTTCTTTAGCCAATCATCTATTGAAGGACATTTAGGTTGCTTCCATGTCTTGGCCGCCGTAAATAAAGCTGCAATGAACATGCGTTGCAGTCAACTATTTTTATAAGTCATCATGGAAGAACTTTCTACTGTGAAAACCCCTTGTGATTTTTAAAATCCCCATATTGAATTTTTCTTATTGATTACCTCATTGTTAGGGTGATGGTATACCCGTTATTCCTAGAATATTTGAGATTCCATATTTACATAATTTATTCTAGTTGTTCTTTATAATACGCATAAGGCATATTAAATTTGGATCATATGTGCATTGCATAGTGAAAGGGGTAGAAGGAATGAAGGTGTGGTAACTTTGGGGGTAGAGGGGAAGGAAAAGCACCTTAAAATTAATTAACCAAGAAATACATCAACTGTTGAATAACTTTCACTAGGGACTAGTTCTAAAGATGTTTAACACAAAGCAAGCTTAGCAAGGTTTGTAGATAATTGATGAGTAATATTGCTTTTTACCTAGTATTTTGATACAGAAAATTATTGGTGAATCTTGGCACATAATTTCTCATTACCTCTTTAAAAATATTTCTAAAACAATAAAACACTAAAGGTATGCTAAGGTAATATGGAAGAGGCATACCTGCAACTGTTGATATTATATATCTATACCAACTCCACAAAGGCCACTGTTGTCACAAAAGGATCACATGATAGTTGCTTTAGCAATGAGGTATTTACTTGCTTAAGGAGATGATTGTGTTATGATAGTTCAACATCTCTTCCCTAAACTAAATTTAACTGGTTCTTTCTTGCTGGTAAAAATCAAATATAGAGTTATCTTATTTTTTTCTAGCTTCTGAGAATGGAATTATAAGTAAAAGAAGAATGCATCAGGGGTTGTATTTTTAGCCAAATGAAATTTCCTGTAGGGAGTTGAATAGGTAAAGTCTCACAAGATTTTACCTGTGTCTTGCCTCTGTCTCAGTTTTGTAACCATATTAGTAATGTCTTGTGAATATATACTTTTGGTCACAATGTCTGTATGAAGTCCCAAGTTTATAGTTTTGTTCTCCATAGGATAGAGTCCATATTTGCCATATGCAGAGAAGTGGAAGAGAAATTCTCAAGTGTCTAGAATATGAAGTTTGTTGTTGGAACAGTTTGTTTAAAATCAATTCTTATGATCTGAAATCAGAAAATCAAAATAAAACAAAGTTATTTACACATTTCTTTACAAGTTTGTCGATACTTCTATGATTTACAGTGACCTTACAAAATAACTAACCAATATGGCCACATTATCATTCAATCAGAAGAGAGAGAAGTTCTTTTTCCTCTAATTAGTTGTATATAACTTTAATTATAATTTTCTATGTAAATTTTGTCCTCTGCCCAAAATATAATAAATGTAGGTTAGTCCTGGGTTATTGTGTATGTCACATTTTATTAGTAATATAAAAATGTAGTTTATGACTTTCCAATTTTATCATTTTATTTCAGATAACTTTTGGCTTTCCTTTGGACAAAGCTTCTCATTTTTTGTTCTATGCGTCTAACTCCAACTTTTCTCCAAACAGCTTTCCTTGAAATTTATTAAAAGCATGCCTCGCTAAAGGGAATTCTGAGCAATAAATTAGATGAAAACACTAATTAGATCAGTTTGATCTTAACCAAAGCTGAAATATGTGAGCATTTTTCTCTCCCATAGAGAAATTGTCTATGAAACATGCTTCCAACTATTCTATTTTCCACAATTAAGTAACAGAAGATGTTTATTTTTGTTCACATCTGCTCATAACTTGGACTTAGTATTTACAAATAATCATCAAATTAAGTAATTGGAAATGTCATGTTTGTGTTATGAAGCCTTAGTAGTTCACATTTTTAGCAAGTGAATGGTCTATGTATGTGTCCTGTTTTACTTTCCTTTTTTTTTTCTCTTACCCAATTCTCAGGTCTGAACCCTGCTTTCTGAAAATAAGTTAATAAGGATCTCTTTTGAATTGTTTTTATTCCTGATACCTCCTTATCTTTGCAAAATTTGTCTTAAAGTGCTGTCATCGATGTTGAAACCTAAGTCATACTTCTCTAAACCCCAAAGAATATTTTTGGAGCTTTGAATCTTTGATTTTAATTAGACTTTGTGGCTCATTAGCACATTTTCAAGATTTGATGATCTTCTAAGTGTCTTCTCCACATTAGGAAACAGTTGCCCTGTCAGAGTTGAGGTATTTGCATTGTTCATAAACCCTAGCAGTTGGTTTTAGGTGAATGTAGGCAATATCCGGAATGCTGCCTTTCATTCAGACAGAGGCAGAATATTGAATCTCTATGTAAATTTCTTTATTCTGCCCAATTCTTCGCTGTTACAAAGCTCCTCCACCACTCAGGAATTCCTGGTAGAAAATATATTGGCTTTTTGTTAAACAACAAGCCTTCAGGATTGCAAAGTGAAGGCAATAGTGTCTTGCATGTGCTAGATTAAAACAAAAACAGTTCTTGAATCGAGCCTGTATGGCTTTGTTAATTTTATTCCAGTAGTAAAATGCCTTTTCTCCTCTACTGCCCCACTGAAATTGCACTGGTTCTTCAGCACTTTCTCAAACGCCACCACGTTTGTAAAGGAGCTTCTGATTCCCTTGCAGTTAGAATGAATTGCTCCATTATCTGTGTCACCATGGATGAGCTTCTCCCATAGTTAATGCCTATTTCACTTTTCCTGGTATCATAATCAGCCATTTACATACAAGTGTCTCCCAGCAGATTGTATCATCCTTAAAGGCAGACACCACACTTTATTTATTTTTATACTTACCAGGAACATTTTACACATGGTAGAAGTGTTCCAGTCCTTCTTCCAACTTTTAATTTAAAATTCACTGCAAGGTTATACTGTGACACATTCTAATACAGATAAGGAAGAGAACAAGTTATCATCCCAGTTCGGGGAAAAAAAAACAAAAAAACAAAAAAGAACGAAACTCAAAAGCAGGGGGCTATGTCCAAACAAGGGGCAGAGAACAGATAAAGGAAGCGATTCATTACTGCCCAGAGTTAGATATTAGCCACTCCCAGGTCACTTGGTTTCAGATTCTTAAAAGGTTCTTTTGAATACTTCTGTACAAAAGATCGTGGCTTTTGTGTGTTCAGTTACTTACAAGAATCATTCTTGAGCTGCATCTGATGAAAGATCCCACTGACCCTAATTTCACTAATGCTCCCAGCAAATCCCTATAAAGGGAGCAGCCACGCCTTCAAATCTGGGAACGTCACTGGCAAGCTTCCCTCCTCTGGTAGCCGAAGACGGGCCTCCAAATTGCATACTTTCTTACTTTGGCATTGAGCCTGATCTCACACCCTTTAACACAGAGAGCATTATTGAGACACTTCTGTCAGCAAATCACTCGGCTAACCCAGATAACCAAGTGTCTTCATATTAGTGATGCAGAAAACAAAAGTTAAATGGC